GAGTAGCTGGGACTACAGGCATGCGCCACCATGCCCGGCTAATTTTTTCTATATATTTTTAGTTGTCCGATTAATTTCTTTCTAGTTTTAGTAGAGACGGGGTCTCTCTGTTGCTCAGGCCGGTTTTGAACTCCTGAGCTCAAACAATCCGCCCGCCTCTACCTCCCAGAGAGCTAGGATTACAGGCATGAGCCACCGCGCCCGGCCCTCAACTCGCTTCTTCAGATCAAAAATTTAAGTATAGAAAATTCTGTTAAACTCAGTATTTTTAATTTATTGTACATACTTATTATGTAGTAAAATATGTAAATTAATAAGATTTAAATTTCATATTAAGAATATGTATAGGCAGAATCCCATTATAACAAAGAAATCACAGCAAGAAAGGATTCTGTATTACAGGTGTGCTAATTCAGTCCTCTAAATCCATTTTCCTTTGACTGTCTATAGAAGACGTAAGTGCCTTGCCCAAGGACAAGCAGTCTAGTACATCTGTGTGAGAATCTGAATCCCAGTTCTTCATTCATTCATTTCTTCAACAAATGAGTGCTTACTGTATACTGGGTACTGGTGAAGTTACTGGGTGGGGATACATGTAACAGGGAACAAAAATACAAAATGATCTTTGCCCTCCTGCAGCTTACCTTCTAGTTTCAGGAAGACAGAAAATAAACAACTAAACAAGCCAATACAAAGTATGTCAGGTGCTTAGATGCTATGGAGAAAAAGAAAGCAGGGTAAGGCAGGTAGCAACTCCTAGTGATGGTGTAGGGGAAATGCTATTTTAAATAAGGCAGTCAAGGAAGACCTGTTTGATAAGATTCCTTTGATCAGAGATCTGAGGGGAATGAAGAAGCAAGTTACACAAGATGTTGTGGGAAGAATATTCCAGGCTAAAGAAATAGCAGGTGTAAATGCCAGAGGCAGGAATGTGCTTGGTGTGTTAGGAACAGCATCCAGGAGGTTAGGATGGGTGGAGGAGAGTGAATGATAACAGGGAAGTAGGAGAGGAGGTCAGAGAGGTGGGCGTGGGGAGTTTATCATGTAGGGTCTCAAAGGCCAGTATAAAGACTTTGGCTTTTTCTCTAAGAAGGAAGCTACCAGAAGAAGCTTTTGAGCTAAGGAAAGACATGATCTGACGTCCATTTTAAAAGCACCATTCTGGCTACTGTGTTGAGAACAAACTGTGGGGCAGGAGAGAAAAATGGAGAAGGCAAGAGCAGAAACTCTCTTATATCTTATTCCTGTTTGCTTATCTATCTTCTCCTTAAAAGCTTGTTTATAGATCACTTAACTGGCTTTTCCTGGTTGAATCGGAGTCAATAGGTCACTCTGATGTGTTTCATCCCTTCAAAAATAAGGAGAGCAAACAGACTAGAGTTCTTTGTATTTCCATATGTAGAATTCTTTAACCCCCCATGATAATCATATACACTCTGGGAGGCCGAGGTGGGAGGATTGCTTGAGCTCAGGAGTTCGAGACCAGCCAGAGCAAGAGTGAGACCCAGTCTCTAAAAAAAAAAAAAAAAAAAAGTCATATACAAATAAGACATAACACCCATGTCATTGGCCTGTGTTATGGAGAGTCGAGTGTTTGTGTGAGATCTT